TTTGTTGTTGCCCATCCCTCAGTGTGTTACTGCTTGGTGACGTCCCTACCATTCAGGATCTACGATCTGTTGCCTGTGTCCTTCAATGAACGGGAGAGAAAATAGGATTTTTGTACTCACCGTAAAATCCTTTTCTCTCCGTTCATTGAAGGACACAGGCCCCGCCCTCTTTATGGGGTGTACACTCCTAACTGCTTGTTACTAAACTGGAGACTTGTCAGCAGGTGGGGGGTTTGGCCACCGGCAGGGGCCGCCCCTAGGCTGTAATTGGTCTTTAGTTTTGTGCCTAGCGTCCTTCTCCTGCAGGTGGCGATATTACCCCTACCATTCAGGATCTACGATCTGTTGCCTGTGTCCTTCAATGAACGGAGAGAAAAGGATTTTACGGTGAGTACAAAAATCCTATTTTTCTGCTTTTAAGGTAACTAAAGCAGGTACCAATTCATATTACGTTCAAAAACAAGCTGATTTTTGCTTGTATACTGTTAGGAGAATCCTGTTGTTTTTAAAATGTCAAGATTGCATGTACGTGTCCACTAAATGTAGCAGAGCAATCCAGTGCCTGTGTTTTCTAGGTTCCATTCGCCCATACTGGTGACTCCATACTTACAGCTCATTACACCCTTTTATTCCAGGAGGCACATACATACAGTACATACATTATATCTTGCATACATTGGGGTAAATGTGAAAATGGAACTCCTCTGTTCTAGGAAAGGATTTTTAGTTGCCTTGTAGTATTTATCTAATTTGACTGTCATAATGAAAAGCTACATTCTCTGTCTCCACTGCTCTTGGGTTGAAAAGAGATGGGAGAAATGTGAGAAGGAAGCTTCCCATAAAGCACACTTCTTCATACAGCCCAACAGCAGGGAAGATCAACTACATTCAGAATCACAATTTAGCTGTTTCTTTGTACTATGTCTGGGGCTTATTCTCATCCATTTGTTCACTTTTTTAAAAATATTAGACAAAGGTGATATAAGACTAAAGATGGCCATGACCATGCAGTATAATTCATCCAAATAATTTTCATTGGTAGAACTGAGGAGTAATGCTTCCTTTGTGTAATGTGCCCATCTAGCTTCTATTGTGCACCAGTGTGTTCCAGAATAGGTTGGGACAAACATCCCCCATATGCACCCATCCTTTAATTCATTTTGTGTTTTACCAATTAATTTTTTACTTATTTGTTATATTCTTTTGCATTGCAGTCTGCATAGTGTTCGCTTAACAATAAATAAGTTAATCTGTATGATTTTTTAAATAGTTTTGACTGGTGCGCTGTCCCTAAAAAAAGAGGAGTTGTTCCATTTGAATGCTATGGCAGGATATCTGGAGTGTTATTTACAAATGACAAGTTTGAAGTGAGCACAAATAAACTGACTTTCTTAGATTTGGGATTAAAACTACAAGACAAAAATACACTTTTTACAAGAATATCAAACGGACAGGTGAGAAGCTAGTTATTTCTTATTTCTTAGTAACTACAGTATAAATTGTATTTCTTATTTGAATACTGCAGGTAACAACAAATGGTATAAAAAAAAACAATAATGCCTTTAGACCCATCAACAAATACTGTAATACAGCCACAATGATATACAGACCGTGTTCCTAAGCACTGAGGAATTAAGTTTCATTTAGAATGAAAGAGATCTATTTATGTTTGGGCTTGAGCAAGAATTTGAATATTCACTCATAAATTGTGCCGGGTTACCAAGAATGTATAACTGCCCATCTGTTTCTTTTTTTTGGTCTTTGTGTAAGATGGGTGCACCTGTGCCCAGGTATTGATCAACAAATGAAAACTAGCCCTGTACGGAGGTTCCATGGTCCAGCTAAGAATGAGTAGATCTAGATCATATTTGCATAAACATTTTGAAAATCATATTACAGGTCTGTCATGATCCAGTCAGGGCAGAGTTAATTTGGAATATCCATAACAACTTAAACAATACAGTTTTGAAGGAAGACCATTTTTGTTTTATTTGTATACCTTAACAGCAGAGACACTTTTAGATCTGACGCCAGTCTATGCTTCTACATGCCAATTAGCACAGCCTGGTCTCTGCAACAAATTTGTGTATTTCAATCCTTGAAGATTCTGGTTAATTTATTAACTCATAACTCCCATCCCATGCAGTGTGTACACTTTTTATGTTGATACTGGTTCAACTAGGTGTAAGCACCCATGTTTGGTCCGTACACATAGCAGAACAGCAGTTGAAACCATCACTTAAACTTTTAGATTCATCAAGGGGTTAACGCAATTCCACCTCCAAATTGCATCAGTAACAGAGCCCAGCATGCAACATTTAAATTCATTCTGAAATGCAATAAATGTAATTTTGAAAATGGTGCACCAATGCTGAAATATTTTTTTAGCATTGGTATATTGTTTCTATGTTTTATTGCTCCCCAGAATGTTTTTATATCTTGCATGCTGTGCTATGTTATTGATGCTGCAATCTGGTGGTGATGAAGAAATGCGTTACTTGCATCTATGGAGCATAGTCCACTATGGTTTACCTGTCTGACAGGCATGCTCATGACACGGCCTTCTTCTCCTGGTCTTGTTAAAGTAATGCTGTTAGGCAGGGAGGAGGGAGCTTTCCATGCTGTTGCTAGTACAAAAATCAGCTGAAAAGGCTTCCATTCCATTGCTAGGTAAAAATACATGACAATATTTTCTGCAGATAGTGGAAGTATTTTGGTGAAAAATATAATCACTGGTAAGGATATTTTATCATCCATTTAGGGTTGCTTGGTTACAGTTCAGCTTTAAACATTTTTAAAGATACATTAAAGTGTTACTAAAGGCATTCTCTGCATTAAGGTCAAAAACGTCCAGTACCTTTTAGACTTCTCGGTCCCCCCCATACTTGCCTATCCAGTGGGGCTTATCACCGCTGCCGGTCCCCACAGCGATCCTCCGTCCCAAACTTCCAGGTTCTAGGGGAGGAAACTGCGGGCAGAGGAGCCATGGGCTCTTCTGCCATCAAACTGCTGGGTGGGGAGGAGGGGCGTGGCCTGCCGCAGGGCTGTGTGTGTCTATGGATGGGGGGAAGGGAGCGTGGCGGGCCATTGAAGTGAATGGCACCGTAGCCATGCCCTTCGGCCGCACGGGATCACAATGCAAATTATGTCTGCGGTCCGGTGCGATCCAAATAGTGCTTGCCTTGCGATCCCACACGGCCAATCACATTGCGGCTGGAGGGCGTGGCTACGATGCCATTCACTTCAGTAGCCCGCCACGCCCCACAAAAAAGTGAGCCGGCCGCAATGCGAGGCAGTGCGTTCTGGCTAGAATCGGGCCGGGATGCACTGCATCTGGTGTGAATGGGCCATTAAGTGGAAGATGTGCTTCTATCTGAAAGTGTGGAAATCATCTAATATGGGTGATCAACAAGGTCTGATTGAGAAATGCTGGTGTAGGTGGAATATGGCATTTGACTAGAGGATAGTATGATGTTTTCTAGAGACTAGTAGTTCCAAATTATACTTTGAATATACAACACACAGCGTTAAATATCGATCAGTAATGGCAAATGTCAATCGTGTACAAAACGCCAATGTCATTGGCCTAAATTTAAACAGTTCTAAATATCATGAATAAATATATAACAATGTGTTGAGACCCCAATTAAAAAGGGGAACAAAAATATAGTGAAATAAGTAAGATGGATTTCAAAAGTCCCAAAACGTGAAACACATAAGTGCAAAAACGAAAATCCACTTCGCGACAGATTGTTCGTGCTCCTTACCCACCAGCCCCCACAGTCAAACACTTACCAGAAATGTTTGACTAGAACAGCAATCAATTAGAACTCCCAGTTCGTTTGACACAATCATCTACGATCTCCCAAACATCGATGGTAAGTCACAGATTCTCAATGTGCAGATGACAGCATTCCCGTATCATCACTCAATAAAATGAAGGAATCGCTCATTGTGCAGTATGAAAACATTTTATTGAATAACAAAAACAGCAAACTCGCATGCGAAAATCTCCGGCCGGCATTGGAACAGTTTCCTCCTCAGACTCCCATTGCCTCACAGGAACAACGTCAGTAGGGCCCGCCCGTGTTCCTGTAAGCCACTGGTTTGACATTTGCCATTACTGATCGATATTTAGCGTTTGTGTGTTGTATAGTCACTTTAATTTTGTTCATAGCAGCTCCTTATCAGTATATAGATTACCAGATCCTTAGCGCGGAATTCTATCCTATCAAATTATACAGTGGCTTTCCCAGAGGTTGAAGGGGAAGAGAGAATAGCTAAGCTTTTCCACTGATTAATAGAATTCCTGTTTAACCTCTTCAGTACTGGCCTGTATAATTACCTTAATTGAAAGACAATTTTACAGTGCTGTGACAGGTTACTATTATTTGGTCTTGCAACACTGTACCCAAATTAATTTAATATTTTTGTTTTATAAAGAAAACAAACATTTTTGTAAATAAACCTTTCAGAAAATACATAATGTTTGGGGGTTTGATGTAATTTTCAGGCTTAAAATGTGGATTATACTATGTAAGCAAAAAACTAAAAAAAAAGGTTTGGTCCTTTTAAGGGGTTAATAGACTAATTAGTGTGTTTCTTTTAAGTGGAATATGTGCTTCTACCTAAAAGTGTGGAAATCATCTAATATGGGTGATCAACATGGTCTGGTTAAGAAATACTGGCGTTTGTGGAATATGGCATTTGACTAGAGGATAGTATGACGTTTTCTAGAGACTAGTAGTTTCAATCTATACTTTCACAGTGGCTTTCCTAGAGGTTGAAGGGGAACAGAGAATAGCTAAGCTTTTCCACTGATTGTTTAATAGAATTCCTGTTTAACCTCTTCAGTACTGGCCTGTATAATTACCTTAATTAAAAGACAATTTCAAAGTGCTGTGACAGATTGAGTTACTATTATTTGGTCTATCAACACTGTACCCAAATGAATGTTATCTTTTTTTAAATAAAGACAACAAACATTTTCTAAATAAACCTTTACTTTCTGTCATAAAATATGTCAAATAAAAATGCCAGCACAGTACGAAGAACCCTAAAATTACCCTTTTTTAAGGTGATGAATTGCCGCAATGTTTGGGGAAATTAAGAAACATGCTGGTATTGAGGTGGTTAGGACTTTAGTAATGGTGCATCGTTAAGGGTCAGGCCATACACATAGGGAGAAGGAGGGTTAATATACAGGTTGCATACATCCAGAGTATGGAGATCAGGGGGTTAATGTGAAGGATAAGGTAGGTAAAGCAGTTAATATACAGGTCACCACAGAAGACAGGATGGATAGTGCAGTCCTAATTACAGCCTTTATGACTGCAATTTATTGGCTCAGTCCACCCAAAATCTAGATATGAAATGAAATATTTATGTATAGTTAAACCTGTTGAGCTGAGTCAGCCCAGGGCTTCTGTGTGTGTTTGATACTCCTGCTCTGTTCCTGTCCATGTCCATCGGGCATTTGAGTTTTCCCAGCAACCTTTCTGTTTTCGTTTCCCCGTTTTGTCTTATATTATAAAATCAATGGTATGTAAAATATTTGAAACATTTAATTTTTGTGGTTTTATTGTCTCTACCAGGAGCAGAGAGTAAAAATTGACCGAGAATTTGCAGTATGGTTAAAAAACTGCCATGAAAAATATGACAAACAAATAAAGTTTTCTGGCTTTAAAGGTATCATTACTCGTCAGGACATTTCTTCAAAACGCATGCAAACACCTTGGGCAGAATATAAGTCCATAGAATGGGATGGAATGACCTACAAAGTTGGACAGCTGGTAAGTTGTATTTTCATTGTCCAGGTTGTACACTTTTTTTTTGTTTTACCTTTTCCTTTTGTTAACTATTTTTCAAAAAAGTAAATGTTTTTTTGCAGTTTATCATAAAACCAAAGTGACGCTCTTAGTACAAAGAATGGTGAAGTTATAAATAAATAATTTAAAAAATGTTGACGTTTTTGCGTGGGGTGTTTTTTTTGTTTTGGCGAATACCTGGGAGTATCTTGCTCATTTTGGTTGAGAAAGCTATTTGTACGAGTGGTCATCTTCAGCATTAGAGAGCAGGTCTAGTGGAATGTAAATAACTTCTTTTAGCTATACTGTAACATTGTGCAGCAAATGGTGAGCTCTCTACTCCAGTCTGGAGGTGCAAGGCCTTACATATGGTTGAATGATTAGTCACTTTTTTGTATCTGTTTTCTTTTCTTTCACCCTTCTAGCTATACCATGACCTGGATGAACAATAACCTCCACATATATATTGGGGGCAATTCAGTAATGCATTTGTGACACATTTCTGGTGGTGTGTATGTAGTCGGAAGCCTTGAGCCAAATTCCTGAAAACTCTGCTACATTAATATTGTCAGTACTGAAGCTTGCAACAAATTCAAGGAGTTTTTTTTGGTCACATTTTACTGTATAGTGCTATTGTACCAACATCATAAAAAAAATAACCCCAGATCAGTGAAAGTGGAGATATATAGGTCCTCTTTCATGTTAAATTGTTGATTGTGTCACACATGTAATTATTGTAACTTTGAGACAATTGTGCAGCAAACTTTCAGGGATCTTCACAGAAGGGTGAAGAGTTTGGAGAATGCAGGAGAACTGAACAATCTAGGACAACATAGCTGATTTAGAGAAATTATCCAAATCGACTCACTTTCCAGTTCAGCTATGTTATCTGAGATTGTTCACTTCTCCTGCCTTCTCCAAACTCTTCACCCTTTTGTGAATAACCCTGTTTGTCTTTAAAGTGTATTTCCACTTCTGCAGTTAAATAATAGAGAGCCCCTCTATATGTAATAAATATATAAATGTGTTCCTTTTCACACAGCATACGTAAAATCATTTTTTTTTTAAGTATTTCTTTTTTATAGATGTGTGTAGCCGTCCTTTGGGGCTTCTCTGTACAATTGCAAAGTGACGGATAACTCTAGCTGTCCTTTCATTAACATACAATGCTTCTAGATCTTTAACCCTTTGTTAGGACAGACAGTGTTCAAATCTAGTTTACAGCTGATGATGATATCTGCCAGCACAGTACAGACAAGGTTAATTAAGTTATAGATTAAGCCCCCACCCACTTTGAATTCTAGAGGAAAGTTCCGTTTACAGAAGATCTTTTCTTTCAGTAATTTGTAAGCGGCGATTTTTAATTTTTAAGGTATGCTATGTGAATGAGAATACGTAACATATATAAAAAAGGTGCTATCCCATTGTGTCTGTAAAAGTGGAAATGCATTTTAAGCTCCCCTGGAACTAATATTTGATGCATTTTCATTACTCTCCCAATTCCTCCAAATAGCTTCCCTGCCTGTAAAACTTTGCAGAGGAGAGGCTTGCAACAGTTCTTTTAGAACTGCAACAGATTCATATACATCTTACCCACGCATATATGAAAAGTTTCTCCATTTGTTGCACTACCGGGAGACAGATTTGGAAAGAGTACCTATGACATCCTCTTATGCTAGATGTAACTGCGCTAAAATATCTGGTCTCCTATGTTTGACTATAATGCCACTAGCCATAACTGAAATGAAACCCCCCCGCAGTTGTTTGAGTCTTAGATCAGTACTAGTGGGGAGAGGGGATTCTGGGTTCTCTCTCAAGCATGATTTGTATTTTAAAAGGAATTGTCAAATCAAAGATGCAAGCTCCATCAGTATGGTACTGGGAAAGTGAGGAGGCACATTATCTTATTGTGTGAGTCTGTACTATGATCTGTAGGGTTTTTGGTTTTATTTTTGCTAAATATGCAAACTACATCATTTTGTTTTTGCTGTACAATTAGCCTTTTTTCCTTCCCATTGCAGGTAAAAACTGTCAAAACTCAGCCAATAATGTATGGAAGTATTTTAAAGTTTCTCCTTTATGGAAACCATGATGGGGATGTTTATGCTACAGGAGGGGAAGTTCTTATTGCTTTGGTAAGTATTTTACAGAATTGCTAACTGGATCCATGTACAGATCACTGAAGCCGAGCAATAAGCTATTGATGTGCAATCTGCACTTTAATAGCTTATTTAGAGTGGAAAGGTGACACTAGGGGACCCCCATTATCACCTTAAAGAGGACCTGTCACTGCCAATATGCTATCACATGGAAGGCTTGTAAGCCCCCTATGTGATGGCAATTAAAGTAAAGTAAAAAAAAAACAGTTTTAAAAATAATATTAAATAAATGTAAAAATAATGAAAAAAAATGTTAAAGGCCCCCGTGAGCATGCATGTCTTCATGTAAACCTGCATCAGGTGCGCCTATGTATGTAAATGACAATCGCGCTACACGTTGGGTGTCGAGCTATAAATGATAGTCCACAGACGCACTGCAGAAAACAATCTTTCCAGACTGTCTGGTGAGCATACAAACATATAGAATGTACATGGAGTGAATGAAGTCCACACGATAAACAAAAAGCAAACGAAAGTCCAGTGTATAACAATAGCGAATGAGTAAAAGAAACTGCAGAGGGTAGTCCACCACAATGAATGAGATCTTCAGGTGTGCAGTAACTATGAAGTTAGAGCTGAAACTTTCACCTCCACCCAGTTGAAATAAATGGACAGGTACTCACCTGAAGAAATTAAAAAGAATAAAATATAGAAGTTGGCAAATTGATCCTCCGAGGACCGCGGACATCGATATCATGTTAAGAGGTAATGTGTGTTGTGACCTGCTCTGTGGGTCCATTCCTTCAGGTGAGCACCTGTCCATCATTTATTCCCACTGGGTGGATGTGAAAGTTTCAGCTATAACTTCGTAGTTACTGCACACCTGAAGATCTAATTAATTGTGGTGGACTACCCTCTGCAGTTTCTTTTACTCATTCGCTATTGTTATACACTGGACTTTTGTTTGCATTGTTTATCGTGTGGACTTTGTGTACATTTTATATGTTTGTATGCTCCCCTGACAGTCTGGACAGATTGTTTTCTGCAGGGTGTCTGTGCACAATCATTTATAGCTCGGCACATCATTGTTGTATTAATTTTAGATATACATGTTGTATCCTTAGTGCTCAGTGCTTATTCACTTTTTGCCAGTGGTGCTGATTGCTTTTTGTTCTTTTTACATGTTTCGTATCGCTGCGCATGCCTGAGTGAGAGCAATAATTCTAGAGCCAAAATTTACACGTATCTCTAAACTGATGACCTGTGGGGGCTTTTAAAGTATCATCTGGACTTTTTGGGGTGCTGAATTTTGTTGCAGTTTCACACAATTTTTATCCTGGGCATGTTGAGTATCTATTTACTTGTTGTAACCTCATCTTTTATATTTTAAAAAATTAAAGGGGTTTTATATAGTGTTTTGGGGCACTAAATTTAACTTTGGTGCAGTTTTCACTAAATTTGGGTTTGATAATAAGTTGCACTAATGTCTTGCAACAAAAAAATCTGCAGCTGCCAACATTTTACTCTACAGGGTCTTGGCTTTCAGAAAACATATCATGTTTGGGGGTTTGATGTAATTTTCAGGCCAAAAATGTGGATTATAACATGTGGCAAAAAAACTAAAAAAATATATTGGTCCTTAAGGGGTTAATAGAATGATTTGTGTGCTTCTACCTAAAAGTGTGGAAATCATCTAATATGGGTGATCAACATGGTCTGGTTAAGAAATACTGGCGTTTGTGGAATATGGCATTTGACTAGAGGATAGTATGACGTTTTCTAGAGACTAGTAGTTTCAATCTATACTTTCACAGTGGCTTTCCTAGAGGTTGAAGGGGAACAGAGAATAGCTAAGCTTTTCCACTGATTGTTTAATAGAATTCCTGTTTAACCTCTTCAGTACTGGCCTGTATAATTACCTTAATTAAAAGACAATTTCAAAGTGCTGTGACAGATTGAGTTACTATTATTTGGTCTATCAACACTGTACCCAAATGAATGTTATCTTTTTTTAATAAAGAAAACAAAATTTTGTAAATAAACCTTTACTTTCTGTCATAAAATATGTCAAATAAAAATGCCAGCACAGTACGAAGAACCCCAAAATGACCCCTTTTTCTCTCCCGTTCATTGAAGGACACAGGGAACAGATCGGATATCATGTACTGTAGGGTAATATCGCCACCTGCAGGAGAAGGACGCTAGGCACAAAACTAAAAACCAATTACAGCCTGGGGCGGCCCCTGCCGGTGGCCAAAGCCCCCACCTGCTGACAAGTCTCCAGTTTTTTGCCTAGCGCCAGTAAGGAGCTAAGAATTTTTTCTCGGGTATTCTTACCTGCTTAGTCAGACAGGTGCTGTAGGGGGGTCGTCTGCCTGCGGGAGGACAATTGCTGGGGACAACCGCGGTGGGGGCGGTGCCTGCTGGGGACTCCCTAATTACCTGTGGCTCTGTATTGCCGGGGCATGGACAGTGGGGACGGACTGGCCGCAGTGCCCTGTGAGGGCTGCGGCCTCGCTTCAGGGACCTCTCCCACGTCGCCTCTTTGCGCAGCCTGTGCTTTTGCGCCCGTTTCCTAGTCTCCCTTGATGCCTGCGGGTTCTTTGGGTTGGATGAGGAAGGCGGAGGCTGTGGTGCGTACGATGTACTCGGTTTCCGGGGGCTCTGTTGCGCCCCGTGTTGGCTTTAGCCCTGGTCTCCCAGACTTTGACCTAGTGGGCAAAGAGGCTGCGTCAGGGTCTTGTGGAAGAAAACGTGTCTCCTGCTTATGTCGACCTGGCGGAGCAGTTGGTGCAGGGTCTGCAATACCTGTATAATTCAGCCTTGGATGCGGCACCTTTGGTTTCCAAACTGTCTGTGTCGGCGGTTACTCTTCGACGACTCCTCTGGCTTAAATGCTGGTCGGCCGACCAGGCTTCCAAGAAGGCCCTGACGGAGCTCCCCTTTACGGGGGATCGTCTGTTCGGTACTACCTTGGATGAGATCATTAAGGATCTGACGGGCGGTAAGAGTACCTTCCTGCCTCAGTCGAAAAAACCTAGGGACCAGCGGCGGAGGCCTGGTCCTTCCTTTTCCGCTTACAAGCGGCTTTTTCGTCCACCTCCGCCCTCTGAGAAGGGCGGGAAGTTCATCAAGCCGCCGCCTTCCCAGGCCGCCAAGCGGCCCTGGCAGCCCAGGAACGCCAAGCCACAGGGTAAGCCCCCCCACGGCATGAAGGCCTGCCCCCATCCCGGGATTCCAGGGTGGGGGGACGTCTTTGGCTCTTTGCGGGCCGCTGGCTATCCCGCGTTTCCGACACCTGGGTGCGGGAATTGGTGTCTTCGGGCTACAAAATCGAGTTCTTCGCTTCCAACATCCGTCTCCCTCCACATCGCCTGGCGGACCTTCATGGCGTGGTGGTGGGTCTTTTGTCCCAAGGGGTGGTGGGGGACGACCATTACCAGTTAGTCGCTCTGCCCTTTGGTCTGGCGTCAGCGCCTCGGGTGTTCACCAAGGTGTTGGCCCCGATTCTGGCCCTGTTGCGTTGTCAGGGGATCTCGGTGGTGGGGTACCTGGACGACCTCCTGCTGAAGGTGGAGTCACATTCCTCTCTGGTGGCGGATCTGGCGATCACCGTTCGGTCGTTGGAGGAGTTCCGCTGGCTCCTGAACTTCCAGAAGTCTTGCCTGGTGCCTGCCACTCGATTGGAGTATCTGGGGTTGATTCTGGACTCCGCCTCGGCCCGGGTTTTCCTGCCCCCCGAGAAGCTTCTGAAGCTTCGCTCGCATGTGGCGCTGTTACAGGTGCGTCGGTGGTCGATGATCCGCTTTTGCATGCAGGTCCTGGGCCTCATGGGGGCTTCCTTCGAAGCAGTGCCTTACGCTCAGCATCACACGCGGGTTCTGCAGAGGACCATCTTATCGCTGAGGGACAAGTCCCCCTCGTCACTGGACCAGGCGGTTCAGGAGGCGAGGGCCTCCCTGGTCTGGTGGCTTCAGTCCCCGTCTCTGGTGTTGGGCAAGTCCTTCCTTCCCATTCACTGGACGGTGGTCACCACGGATGCCAGCCTGTTGGGCTGGGGGGGGCGTCCTGGACGTTTGGACGACTCAGGGCCGTTGGTCCTTGGAGGAGTCTCGGCTCTCGATCAACGTGCTGGAACTTTGGGCGATCTGCCTCTCCCTTCTTCAATGGACGGTCCGGGTTCAGTCGGACAACGCCACGGCCGTGGCTTACGTCAACCATCAGGGCGGCATAAGAAGTGTGGCTGCGGCTCGGGAAGTGGAAAGCATTCTATCTTGGGCGGAGGAGCATGTTCCGGCTCTCTCCGCCGTGTACATTCCAGGGGTGGAAAATTGGCAGGCCGACTATCTCAGTCGCCAGTCGGTGGATCCGGGGGAATGGATGCTACATCCGGAGGTGTTTCATCAACTTTGCCTTCGCTGGGGGTTCCCGGACGTGGATCTCCTGGCGTCTCGCCTCAATCGGCGGGTCGATCGGTTCGTGGCCAGGACCCAGGATCCTTGGGCGGATACCCTGGTGGCGCTGTGGGATTGCTACGGTCTACTTTACGCGTTCCCTCCACTGTATCTGTTGCCGCGTCTTCTTCGCAGGATCGCAGTAGAAGGCGTCCCGGTCATCCTCGTGGCTCCGGATTGGCCGAGGAGGGCGGGGTACGCAGATGTGGTTCGGTTGGTGGCGGACGTCCCCTGGCGCCTGCCGCTTTGTCCAGATCTTCTATCTCGGGGTCCGGTGTTCCATCCGTCTTTATCGTCGCTGGCTTTGACGGCGTGGCTGTTGAGAGCCAGGTGTTGAGGGATCGTGGTCTCTCGGATGCGGTTATTTCTACGATGTTGCGGGCTCGCTAGCGCGTGTCCCGAAGGATTTACCATCGAACATGGAAGGCTTATTTTGTCTGGTGTGAGTAGGTTGGATTTCCGCCTCTTTTGTTTTCCGTTTCCAGGATCCTCGCTTTTTTTGCAGCGTGGTGTGGATCAAGGTTTGGCCTTGAGTACGATCAAGGACCAGGTTTCGGCTTTGACTGTCCTTTTTCAGTGGCCGATAGCCTCCAACGCGTTCGTTCGCACTTTTGTGCAGGGGGTTACACGTATTGTTCCTCCTGTTCGCTCCCCGTTGCCGCCATGGGATTTGAATTGGTGCTCTGTGTTGCAGGAGTCTCCCTTTGAGCCCCTGCGTGAAATTCCAATTCTGACTCTGTCTCAAATGGTGGCCTTTTTGGTGGCAGTCACCTCAGTCCGCAGGGTTTCGGAATTGGCGGCCCTCTCTTGCTGGTCCTGCATCGGGACAAGGTGGTTCTACGGCCTCGGCCGTCTTTTTTGCCGAAGGTGGTTTCGGCTTTCCATCTCAATGAGGACATTGTCCTGCCTTCCTTGTGTCCGCAGCCTGTCCACAGGAAGGAGAAGGCGCTGCACTGTCTAGATGTGGTCCGCGCCATCCGTGTTTATCTGAGTGCTACGGCTTCGTTTCGGGAATTGGATTCCCTGTTTGTCGTTGCAGATGGTCCTCAGAAGGGCCGGGCTGCCTCGTCGGCCACCATCTCTCGATGGATTCGCGACACGGTCTCTCAGGCGTAAGCTATTAAGGGGCGTGAGCCTCCTTTTTCTGTTACGGCCCATTCTACAAGGGCTGTTGGGGCATCCTGGGCTTTTCGTCATGGTGCATCCGTTTCTCAGGTCTGTAAGGCCGCGACTTGGTCTTCTGTTCACACCTTTACCAAGTTCTATAAGGTGGATGTTTTTGGCATCTGCGGATGCTGGTTTGCAAAGTGTGCAAAGTGTTACAGGCGGGTGCAAGGCTGGGTGCAAAGTGTTACAGGCGGCCGTTTGAGGGGATTTTTTTGTTCAGTTGGGTTTGTTGTTTCTGTTGGCCCACCCCTCTTTTTTGGTACTGCTCTGTGACGTCCCTACAGTACATGTACAATGAACGGGAGAGAAAATAGGATTTTGGTACTCACCGTAAAACCCTTTTCTCTCAGTTCATTGAAGGACACAGGGCCCGCCCCTCTGTGTGGGTGTGTACTCCTTTACTGCTTGTTGCTAACTGGAGACTTGTCAGCAGGTGGGGGGTTTGGCCACCGGCAGGGGCCGCCCCAGGCTGTAATTGGTCTTTAGTTTTGTGCCTAGCGTCCTTCTCCTGCAGGTGGCGATATTACCCTACAGTACATGATCTCCGATCTGTTCCCTGTGTCCTTCAATGAACGGAGAGAAAAGGATTTTACGGTGAGTACCAAAATCCTATTTTGAGGTGATGTATTGCCGCAATGTTTGTGGAAATGAAGAAACATGCTGGTATTGAGATGGTTAATACAAGGCCTTTAGTAATGGTGCATCGTTAAGGGTCATGCCATACACATAGGGAGAAGGAGGATTAATGTACAGGAGGGTTAATGTTGCATACATGGAGAGTATGGAGATGAGGGGGTTAATGTGAAAGATAAGGGAGGTGAAGTAGTTAAAGGAGAACTATGGGATTAAGGCTCCCGTTACCCTAAGGAGAACTATGGGGAAAAGCCTTAACCCCATAGTTCTCCTTTAACTACTTCACCTCCCTTTATCTTTCACATTAAAAGTTGGGGTTAAAATTAGCATCCTCCCGTCACCCTAGGCTCAGTATACCGCGAGCTGTAGCTTGCGGTATACTAAGACGCCGCAGCTGAAGCGGATCCCGACAATTATGTCTGGATCCGCCCAGCTACGTGACTGACAGCTGGCTCTGCCTACCTAGAGGCAGAGCCACCTGTACCCACCCCGTCCGTTCCGCCAGTCAGCGCTATCGGAGCGGGGAGTGGGGAATCCAGGCCCTCCCCTGTCACGGCAGAGACAGGGGAGGGGCTCACCTCCCGATATACTAAGCCTATCTGTGACAGTCTCATTGTCACAGGTCGGCTAGAACTATGAGGTGAGTGAAAAGCACTCACCTCATAGTTCCCCTTTAATATACAGGTCACCACAGAAGACAGGATGGAGCTGTGATGCATAATTTGCTCCTGATGAACCCTTCTTTCATAAATCCTTCATTGGCAAATCCTTACTTCTTCCTCTTCTTCTGTTGTGAGAGAAAGGAAGGGGCTCCCTAATGTACACAGTAGTACTATTTACATAGTTGGCTGTGATTGGTCATGACAGAGATAACAAAGTACCAAGCCGATCAGATTATTGCAGACAAGATTATGCTACCTGTGGTGTATGTCTGTTCACTGATATATTTTTCCTCACACTCTTTATAGTACCGGTTTTCATTTCAATGTTCCCTTTTTTGACTATTAGGAACCAAAAGAGGTACATGATGAAACAAAAAGTGTGCCTATTTCAAAACTTGATCGTAATACAAATTTGACTGTTATCAAGAAGTATATGGACGATGAAATGGCAAGGTATGAAGCACATTTATTGTTGTTTCTTGTGGATGTTGTTGGAGATTTTGCATTTTTTTTTTCATGGTCTTCCTTTTTGCCAGATTTCCTGACACTCTGCTAGTGACATGGCCGGATGGAGATGCATTGGAGGAGAATGAGGAGAGGTTTGCTGGAACAACTATAGGTAAATAAGATGATGGTACTAGAGGCTAAAGGCTGTGTTAAGTAGATATGCTATAATTTCTGTTATATAAAAGTTCAAAAGAGAACTATGGGGTAACCTTTTTTTGCCATAGTTCTCTTCAGGGTCACAGGAGGATCCTGAAAATACTGTCCCGAGTTCCACTACACTGACTGACAGCTAACTCTCCCTTCCCCCATCTGTTCCTCCACTCAGAGCTGGAGAAACGGAGAGAGGGGGGGAGGAATCTCTGCGGGGAGCTGTGACTGACAGTCACCGCTCTCTACAGGGAGAGGATTAGGAAGTCCTCTATCGGCGGTATGTGTTCACTGACTTACCGATCAATAGAGCCGACCTGGGACAGCTTCAGTGTCACAGGTTGGCTTGAATTATGTGGATGAGTGGTTTTCACTCTACCCATAATTCTCCTTTAAGCTTGTGTAGTTATAAACCAATAACTTACAATAAAACTGTGATCAACTCCTGGCATATTTATTTCATTGATGTATTCCTTTTAATTCAGCTATTGTCCAGACATAATGGGGTTGATTTACTAACCTTATAAACACACCATGAACGTGTATACACCTCTGTAGTGTGTTCCCTCCCAGCATGATCTATGGGAGGAATCGAAACACCTTTGTAGTGTGTACACACCCAGCAGGTGTGTTGTGCAAAGCCCTGCAATGAATTGCAAGGTAATGTGGTGTAAATTAGCTCTATGTTATGTTGCTTGCATTGATGAATGCAGGAATGTAAATGCATGAGCTAACCATTTTTGTCTAAACTGTGAAGCAGCATTATATATGCATCATGTGCATGATTTTTCCATATATGGCATTAGTGGAAATATGCTTTTAGAGACTTTTTGGTTGATAAATACGTTTTGCTGTGTGAAAATCACACACACCTGGTGCGTGCGTGTGTTTAGGTTAGTAAATCACCCCCAATGTGTCTTTTTTTGAGTTGTCGTACAACTCTGACATGTGCAGTCTGGTTTTCTGCAGAAGGCTTATGCTAAGACTGGTGCATTGGATTTAAGGCAGAACTCCAGGTAAAAATTTTCTAAACCTCTGCAGTACAGCCTCCTGTGACAGTGCTTTCTCCTGCCTGTTTCCTCCTCGGCTGCAGCAATGGTATGTCCCTCAGCATCCTCACTTCCTATGCACTGTGTATAGATCGTGATGACTCATGGACTGTAGACCACTACAACGGAGGAGGAGCGAGGTAGAAGGGAAGAGTGTAAGAGCGAGCTGGCTCTAAGGATCAGGTGATTATAACTTTATTTTTGAACCTAGACAGAAATGAACACTCATAGGAGAACTATGGGATAACCTTTTTTCCCCATAGTTCTCTTAAGGGTCACGGGAGGACATATACTAGCATCCTCCCGTGACCCAAAGCTCAATATATAGCCAGCTATAACACGCTATATACTGAGAGTGCCGCAGCCGGGACGGATGCCTACAATACTGTTGAGATCCACCCAGCTGGCTGATTGACAGCGGGCTCTGCCTATCTAGAGGCAGAGCCAGCTGTGCCCATCCGTTCCTCCACTCAGCACTATAGGGGAGGGAGTGGAATCCCTGTGGGGAGCGGTGACTGATGGTCACGGCTCTCTGCAGGGAAATGATCGAGCGATGGCATGTTTTCACTCCCCAATCTATAGAGTTGACGTGTGACAGTCTCATTGTCACACGTCGGCTCTAACTATGAGGTTGAGTGAAAATCACTCACCTCATGGTTCTCCTTTTAAACCTTGCTGGAAGTAGCCCCACTGCAAAGGTTAAGAAAAATGTTAAAGTTCTACTTTAAAAAAACAAATGGTCAGCAGAATGACCTAAACACTGTTTTCATTCACCATCTGCTCTTTAGCCATATAGCATGCCAATAGGGAGTGGACCATAAGACTATGTGCAATGCTTTAAAAAACATTTAGAATTCCTATAAAATATATTTTCCAAGTAAATGGAACCTACGGCCAAACACTGTGATAGAGCAGGTTATGATTAGAGCCTCTGCCAAGTTTTATTAATACCTTTGTCCAGGACCAGTTCACTGTCTGTCACACCGTTTGGTGTCTTGTCTTTGGTCAGTTTTTATTATTATCATTATTATACAGGGTTTATATTGCACCAACATTTTGTGCAACAAGTTACAAAAAGAAGGGAGACAGTACAATTACAATACCATACGATACAGGAGGGCTAGGAGGGGCCCTGCTCATGAAAGCTTACAATCTGGTAGGAAGCTGCAAGTGATACAAAAGTTATTAATTGTGTGGGATAAGAAGATGGAAGAAGACCTAAAAGTACAGTTATTATGTGGAGGTGGGACAGGAGAGGTATGAAAAAATTAAATTGCCCATTCCGCAAAAGGTAGTAGAAATTGACCTTTTGTCAGTGTACAGAATGATTTAAAAAATGGCCCTAAATTGGTAGTCATTAGAAGTAATAAATGTCCCTGGATCAGTAGGGGTAAAAAATGCCCCTGCAACAGTGGCCAATGGGTGTAAACAATTACCCCTTGATGAGTGGGACTAAAAATTAGCCCTGATTTATTGTGATTAAACACCCCATTGTTGATGGTCAATGGGAGTAAAAGATGACCATTGGTGAGTGAGTAAAAATGTTCCTGCATCAGTGGTTAGGAGTAAAAAATGCCCCAACTTCAGTTGAAGTAATAGTAATAAAAGAAAAACCTACACACCCCAGTTCCCAGGACATTGGTGTCTATGGGAGTACTAAAAGCCCCCCATCCCGGACATTGGTGTCAGTAGGAGTAATGAAAGACAACCCTACCCCCAAGGCATATTTGATGTTTGTTGTAACTTACAAGTCCGCTCTTCATGACAACAGCCATATTAAGGCATCATTGCAGCATCCCCCTGTTTACATTGAGAAAAGCCTGCTTTCTTTTTGCAGTGGCTGATAGTTTTGGGACTGTATACAGGTACCATTGGTCCGGGGATCACTCCAATCAATAGTGCCTATAATAGATTACCAGGTGCTAGTACACTCTGCATTACATGTCCAGCAGCCACTGCTACGCTGCACAGCAGCTTCCTTTGTGCACTATGGGAAAACCCTGATTGCAGTGACTTTTCAATGCAGGGGTCTGTTTGGGGGCCCTTGCGGTTCCTCTACTTTCTGTGCCACTGACGATACAGGAGGTGGGATTGAATCTACACAACAGAGACACTGAGAAATATCAGACAGATTCTGACCAGTGCCCAAAAAACAAATGGTATATTATTTCTCTGCTAGAGATCTCCAACTCATTTCTTCTGTTGACTACAGAGGAACAGAAGGTAACTCACCAAATAGGGTCATGAATTGCAATAAAAAGCTGACAGCAGTTTTAAGCCTTCCGCCTTTCTATTCAAACCTAAAACAAATGTGATTTTTGTTTCACAAAGACCTTTAACATGTTGAAAACTATGGCTGTTTACAAATACTATTTGAAACAAAAATGGTGAATAAAGTGAACTGTGTGTCAATAGACCGGACACCTATTTCTAACCAGAATTTTTTTGTTGACAGGAGCAATACGAGTTGAGATTTTTAATAAGAAGGGGGAAGCTGTGCAAAAGCTTCCAGGTACGAGTCATGGAGCTACAAAGAAACTTTTGGTGGAGCTGAAGGTTCTGTTGCTTTGTAAGTGAACAGCATGGGAGAGGCAGATAAATGTCTACACTGATACGTAATATACCTGGTTATGGTATTTTTATTTCTCTTAAAGCGGACCTTTACACTCAAAAATCTAATTCTATCAATGCATTCCTCTTTGTAAGATGATTAATAATAACAGACATGTCAGGTGTAAAATGCTATGATTATGAAATACTAACACTTGCAGAGTATTCATCTCCTGCTTTAAAAGGGCAAAATGACTTCAGTTTGCCAACGCAATGCACACTGGGATTGCCTTATCAGCAGAGCATGGCTGGGAAATCCCATCTGTAATCTCACGAGATCTCAGGGAAAGGCATTTTTCTCCCCTGAAATGATGTGCATGGTCATATGTCTAGTCACATGTCTAGTTAATTGTGCCCGAAATCCAGGAAGTTATAGGAGAGCTAATAATCTGCTCTTAGTAAACATGGCCACTGTCAGAAAACTGAGGAAGAAAAGAGAAATAAGGTATGCAAAGCCGGCAATTATCTAGAAGTATGTGTTTGTAGATTGTCATTACTAAACATTTCTAAAGGTGTGTTTGTTATTTTAAAGATAAGGGTAAAGGTCCGTTTTAAGTAAGAATGTGAAGTTTTATCCTAATCTGTTATAAGCTAAAATATCTGGCAATATTGTTCCATCTTACAGCGAACCTGTGCTTTGCTCATGCAGGAAAAAGCACACAGTTTGTTTTGATGCCCTCCGCCTCAGCAGCATATACTTTCCTTTGTTTCATTCTCATCTGCTCTCTTTAGCTGACAGGAGCAGAGAAAACACTGTGAGAGGAATTTACTAAGACTGGCTCAGACAGAATCTGGAGCAACCTTGCATGGCAACCAATTAGCTTCTATCTTTATTTTTTAAAACGTAACTGAACAAGCTGAGGGTAGAAGTTTATGGGTTCTATGCACAGCTGCTCCAGATTCTGTCTGCTCCAGTTTTAATCAATTCACCCCTATGTATTTCCAGGTATGGAGCAGCATGTCACTTACTCTATAATATGGTGCTGGTGATAGCCTAGTTCCGTCACACGGAGGAGGGGCGATTTCACATCTGTGTAAGCCTTGACTGGAGTGACTTGCTACCTAAACATGGCTGTCTTTGCAAACACAGTGCATTTTTAACTCAAATTTACCGAGATTTTGCTGCGTTCCAGACCAGAGAAAATGAGACGCGCAGTATTTTTTTTATCTGGAACGGAACCGACTGTGCTAGTGTGAACAGAGCTCAGAAATTCCATAGGGATACATTGGGATGCTTTTTTTTTTTTTTTTTTTGTCCAGGTACAAACTGTTCTGATCTGGACATAATCCGGACAGGGTGTGAACAAGCCCCGACTCCTTTTTCGATTTCTTAACATTCCAATACATTGTAACAAGACCATATAATGGAATCCAGTGTCCATCATTCTTATCCAAACTTTGTGTGGATTAGAAGACTGTTGCTTCTCATTTCATATGTGATGCTTGTCGTCTGTTGTCTTGTATGTCTGTCTTTTCCATTCAGATACTCAGCTATCTGGTTTAAGTGCCAATCGGCAGAACGCCAATGCAAAAAGGAACTTTTGCATTTACACTATGTGAGAGGTTGTTTTTCTTTGTAGCTACCTTGGATTAGATTAGAAAAAAAAAAAAAGCTACAGAAGGTAAAAGTGAACACTTACGTCAGATGTGGAACAATAGGGAACAGTGTTGTAAGCCTGCTTCTTCTTTTCTGTCTTTTATACGTTTCTTTAGTTCCCAGTTTCAAAAGACATGTTACGCTTCCAAACCTTTGGACCCTCTGGACATCTTTGGCAGTTTTGGCTTTATCATGAAGGTGTGCTTCCACCTTTTCTATATCTGGTGGGGGGACACCTAGTGGAATTTGCGGAGAAATGGGAAGCTCAAATTTCAGAATATGTTTTCAACTTGCTCCTCCTCCTCAGTTCTCAGCGTTCCAGTTACCCATGTTTTGGCTGCGTCGGATGAACCTTTTTTGCGCAGTTCAAGGTTTGCTGGATCCTACTGTTATTATTCCTGTTCCTTTGGAAGAACATATTCAAGGTTTTTACTTAAACCTGTTTACGGTTCCCAAACCCAATGGAAGACTTTGTCTATTCTGGATTGGATGCACTTAATGCATTTGTACATATTCACAAGTTCCAGATGGAATCCATATGGTTGGTTGTCGCCTAACTTTACAAGATGTGTATCTACACATTACTGTATTTTCAGCTCATCAGCAATCTTTCGTTTTGTGATGGGCAACCATTATCAATTTGTGGCTCTTCCCTTTGGGTTAGCTAAGGCCCCAATGTTTTTTACCATACGATACTTAAACGACCTTTTACTTTGCGAACAGTCTCTTCCTACTTTGGAGCTCAATGTCTAGAGCGAATGTGGATTGCGGGGACGCATGATAGGGGTGAGCTTTGCACTTTGTGTTCTCAGTCTGCTTTGTTTTACCTTCGCTTTGTCCAGTTCCTGTTCATCCTAATGAAATGTATCTTTATTATTTTGGATGTTGTGTGGGCTATTTATGTTTCAGCCACAGCTTCTTTTTGACGTTCAGACTCTTTATTTGTTTTTCCAGAAATTCCTAAAAAAAGGTTGCTCAACTTCTAGATTCACTATTTCTAAGTAGACCGATCAGCTTAACCTTCAAGCTTATGTGTTTCGGAATAGGGTACCCTCTTTTCTGCTCATTCTACTTAGGCGTTTCAAAATCAAGCTTCTGTTACTCAAAATTGCAAAGCCGCAATCTTGTCTTCTGTTCACACTTTTGCAAAGTTTTTATAAAGTTGATGTTTCTGCCACTTCTGACGCTAGTTTTGGCAGAAGCGTTTTTCAGGCAGTTGTGTAAGTGTACTTTGACAGTTTGTTTTGTTGAGCTAGTGTTATAATTGTTGTGGTGCCTCCCCCTCTGTTTTGGACTGCTTTTGAACACCCCTACCTATCAGATTCTTCAGAGCTGTGTCCCTCAATGGACAATAGGGAAAATAGGATTTCATTCTTACTGTTAAATCTTTTTCTCGGAGTCCATTGAGGGAGACGGCTCCCTCCCTTCATTTCCTTGTATATTGCTTGCTGCAACTGGCAGGAGGGGAAAGTTAAGTCCTTAAAGTGACAGGCTTTTAATTTTGTTTGCCTAGTGTCCATTTCTCCTAGAGGCAGCAGCATAACCCTACGTCTCAGACTTCTTCAGAGCTGTGTCGCTCAATGGACTCTGAGACGCGGATTTTACAGTAAGAACAAAACCCTATTTTTGTGAATTAAAGTTGGATAGATTTATTTATTTAAACATCATGTGCAAAGTCTGTTTATTGGTCAGTGTCATCTTTACCCATAAATTCACACTGTTATTAAGGGCACTTTATTTATGTTTGTATTACAGCACCAAGTGGCGAGAAAGAAGTAATTTCTCATTTAAGTCAGCATGGTGGAAAGTGGCCCTACTGGTTTAAAAAAATGGGTAATTGTTGTTTTAACAGTCATGTTTATTTGTATTTGTTTATTGTTCATACAGTTTATTTTCTCCATATAGGGGCTGACTTTAGCCTATCTTTTTATATACAATGTATTTCTTTTAGAGAACATCACAAAGCTTGGTGTGTATACCCTGAAACTACAAGTTGTTTTAAATGAAAGCAATGCTGACAAGTATGCAGGGAAAGCTCTTCCATGTAAAAAGATCATGTTTAAAATTGTGGGTGAGTATGTTTTAGTGCCATCTCTTTTTTGGATTAGGTCTGTGTTCCTTCATTCTTTTCAGATATGCATTGTGCTACCTAATGTGTCCGAAATCCAGTCTGCTTGCCAAAACCATAAACTATTATTGGTTTGCATCTGTGCATAACAAGTTTAGAATAGTCAAATATAACATGCTTTTGAGGAAAAATGTTTGTACCGAAGATGTTTTACACATGTTTTAGGTTGATTGTGTTTGTATGGAGGAGAAATCAGTGAGCAGGAAGCAGTATATCAAAATGCAAAGAGGGTGTAGCAATGAATTAAAATATAGAATCCTGCAATCAAATTACAAACCACCCCTGGCCCTGGGAAGCACAGCATGGCTACCCTATCTGCTTCATCTGATTAATGTCCATTAACTACTAGCTTGCTGCACTTTTTTTTTCTATTGAGGGGTAGTATTGAGTGAAATTCTCCCTTTCTAGGAAATCTAACCTTTCATAAGAAGTCTATTGCTCAGACTGATGTATTGGTGACATGCCATCTGCATGCAATTTGAATAAATTAGGCTTGATTTGATTTAGCAGTTGCAGCAAACCTTAAAGCTGGCCATACACTGTACAACCCTCGCAAGACTTTTGTCTTGCGAGGGTTGTAAAGTAATTAAAAAAACTTACAATCTGTCCATCATGGACAGGCAGATCGTACTCGCGATCATCGCAAGCAAGCACGCCCCGCTGAGGGGCGGGCTTCCAAAGACTGCAATGCTGAACCGGCAGTGTGCGCGTGCGCACACCGGCCCGTTCGGCAGATGTCGAACAAGCACGCCACTAACCCGCCGAGAATCGTACGATTATCGTCAGGTTTTCCAACGTGCTTGTTCGATGGAAGACATGCGACCGTACAGTAGAAACGGTCACACGCCTTCCATACACTTTGCGATTATCGTACGATCGCGGGATTTCCCGCGATTATCGTACGATAATCATACAGTGTACGGGCACCTTAACGCTGAACACCACCCTCGTATACTTTACAGCAAAGGAAGGTGCCATCTTATCCTCTATTTGGAATGCAGTTGCCATGGTGCTGCACATGTGACCAGCTATGACACCAGCCATTTATGGGCTTAAAAGCTCGGTTAAGAGCTGAAATAAGCATAATGGCAACCTTGACAGTAGGGTCAAGTTCCACTTTAAATTATTTAAAATAATAATTACAAGTTATGTGTTATTAGAGTTTTATTTTGTGTTTTTTCTCTTTCTTTTAACAAGTATTTTCCCCTTCTACCTTTCTTTCTGTCAGAGGGTAAACCGTTTAAATTTGTATTGGGTACTGTGGATTCTACAGTTCAAGTTGGAATTCCATTCAATATCCCCTTAAACCTGCAGGATGAATTTGGCCACTCAACATTGCCCACACCAGATCTCAAACCAGTTTTGGAAGCTAGGTAATTATCTGTGATAGCGGCCATCAAAGCCACTAGAAATATTAGTTTCTTCACAGTTGTAATTATGGTCATTGTTATTGTGAATTTACATCAACAAAGCATGCAAGTAGAGCTATATTAATGCTGTCAACTCAAAAATTATATAACAGGAAGTTAGAGCAACCTCCTGCTTATATCCCTCAGGTGGTAAAGTCTGCACATAGTTTTTATAATCGATAATACATTAGGGAAAGTAAGGATATTATTGTTGCAAGAGAAGTGAGAATCGGATTGAAACTTTGATTACCTAGTCATTACTTCAGGAAGTGAGATTTTGCTGGATAGATATACGAAGTTGGAAAATAATTCAGCTTGGCAGCGTTTATCGTTAACAAGATAATCAATGAAATTACCCTTTCAAGACATTTTTAAAATTAATTTGAATGGTAAAATGCTGAACCACATACCGAAATGCATGCACTGTAGTGCAACAAAATGCTGTCTTAATATTAAATATAATAAACACTGAGTACCTGTGGTTAGCCAGTAGGCAAACAAAATGGCCTGTTCTTACCTTCCTCGCCTACATGAACCTCTGACTGCTATTGCAGCAGGAAGTCAACAACTTAGTGACTTCTCACTGTGTGGGCCACAAGAATCATTGATTGCTACGGCCCAAATGACCTCACAGCGGTATTGGTTGCTAGTGTTCTTGCAACCACTATCCCACTACCTGCTGGCTTGTTTCAAATTGTACACAAACTGGCATGCATCCCAGGTGATGTCAGTGACGAAATATGGCTGGGCCTCACAGCGTTTTTGTTTGCTAGGATACAAGTAGCAGACCGCATCCTAGCAACCAATAACTTTGTGCGCCCTCGCCATATTTGGTCATTGAAATTGCCCCGGGATCCCCGAATGGTGTGTGGACATTCAGCAGCCTGCCACGGGTCAAGTTATTTTTGGGGAGAATATCAGCGGGAGAAGGTAAGACATTATTTTTTGGAGATTGTAAGACAAATTTATTTATTTCTTACATCATGGGACTGGGTCTGGTAATTCACCCTTTTCCTGGCCAACCAGGCTGCATGGTCAGATAAGTCCCTGTTCACGCCTTGGGCGTTTTGACGCTCAAAGCTAAGCACGACAAAACTCAACACAAGAAATCCAATTCATTTCCATGGCCCCTGTTAACACCTGAGAGTTTTGTCACGAGCTGTTTAACACTGAATGCTGGAAAAGGTACATGGGCTTTTTTCGGGCAGATTACAAGATGTTTGGTCGCATAGACTTCAATGGAAGTGCATAAATGAGCGACAAGCGTTTAGCACATTTATGTGCGCACGTTTGCTCTTTTCACTGCCATGCATTTTAATCTGCTCAGTAAAACACACCTTTGTATATGCGCGTCCAACGGGTGTACAAATGCGCAAAACTGCGCTAAATACACTAGGTGGTACACTAAAACAAAACGTGCGCTATAAGCTTGAAAACGCTGACACCTAGGTGTAAGTGGAACCGTAGTGTCTGGTACGGGTTTTGGAGGGTCCCCAAGCCGACTTTTTTTCTTTTGCATGAGGTCTCCTTTACAATCGGCACCAGACACTCATCTAGGATAAAGGTCTGATATAGATGTTGAAGGGAATCCCTGACCACTTTGTTTAGGAACAGAATAAAGAGGCCAGGTAATGTCATTTAGTGGCAATTTTATTGATTCTTTTTTTTTTTTCTCTTTGCAAATGTCGCTTTTGCTTTAGTACATCATGCAGGTGCACCACTTCACATGTAGGTTAAATTGTTGAGCAAAACAACATAAACAGTGTCTCATTGATGTACTATATGCTTTAATATATGTGGCCTAAGAGGTGTGCAGTAAATGTCACTTTTTTGTTTCATTAGACTTATTTGCCAGTTTTAATTTGTAGGCTGAAAATTGTCTCTACTATTTTATGATACCCACTGCCTTTTATCCATTATGTTGTATCAATGTCAGCGATGTATGAATTATGTATCTTATGATTCATTTTTACTTGCTTACCTAGTGCTATTATTCTGGATTATGAAGAACTGAGCAAAATACCTCCTTTGTTAATAAAAGGAGTGACTGCCAGAGGTCGAGTGAACAACTGCCAGGGCAAGGTAACTGTTATTTTGCAATTTTTACATTATGTTACTTTAACCACTTGCTGACCAGGTGTTTACACCCCCTTGCTGGCCAGGCCATTTTTCAGTATTTAGCACTGCAGTACTTTGACATTTATTCCATCATACAACGCTGTACTGAAATTAATTTTATACCATTTTTTGGGTACAGACCCAGCTTTCTTTTGGTGGTATTTAATCACCACTGGGGGTTTTTATGTTTTACTGTATTAAGGAAAAATTACTGAGATTTGTTTTTTACATTGTTAGGAAACCATTATTATTACCAAATATTTTGGTAAAATATAAAAGGCTGGGACACATCGGGTAAATAGACACCAAACATATCAAGCCTTAAAATTGTGCGCACCTGTGAAAAAAACTACTATACCCAAAATTGAACATAGGCGACGCTTAGCTTTTACCGCTTATCAGTTTAGTGTTATCAGTGATTGATGGCCCTAGACTTATTGCTCTCACTGCGACGTTCGCGGTGATATGTAACATGTGCAGCGTAATGAGTGCAATCGTCATTTTCGCACGTATGCGCACCCGACGCATGTTTGCACGCATGTATGGGTGGGGACTTTTTTTTTTAAATTTGTTTTTTTTTATTTCTTGGGTGGCTTTCATTCTTTTTTTTTTTTGCAACTTTAATTTTTTTTTCCTATAATTTTTTTTTTTTTCACTTAATGTTATTGTTATCACATAGTGGCTAAGAAACCCACTATGCGATAGCAAACAGATGTGACAGGTCCTCTTTATGGAGACAGGGGTTTCCAAGACCCCTAATGTCACCTAGGGACCCCCAAAGAAGCTTCTGAAGCTGTAGAGTAACAGCAGAATGCGGAAGTGAGCACTTCCGCATTCTGACACAGGAGAGGGGATCGGAGGGAGATCGTGTACCGATCTCCCTCTGATCCACTGTCACAGGGCCACCATGCTGGTCCCAGGCTTGCACCGGGAACAGCAGAGCCGGGACCAGCGGAGGGGGGCACACAGAACGGCACGTTATACAGTTCTATAGCCGGCGGTTCGCTTGTATGTAAACAGACATCGCTACCTGTTTTTTAATTGGGGCAATTTCCCGCTCGCGAGTGGGCAGAGCCAACAGGACATCTTTGAACGGCTGGTCAGATCCAGGAAGCTCCTAGCCGGCCGTTGTTTCACAACGGCTGGCCGGGTGGTGGATAAAGGCTTCTGCAATGTAATACTTCTCCGCAATTTATGTTTGGTAAATCACAGCAGCACCCAGCATGCTTTTGCCAGTGTTTATGGAGAGCATGTCTATATACAATTTGACACACTTCTATCACACAGTTCCTGGATCAAGCCATGAAAGCCTTTTTTAGTTCTCAAAATATTATTCAGAATAAGTAGAGTGCAAAACTGTAAGCTATGTTAGCTGGAGTGGACAGCATTTCAGGTACATTTTACATTTTTTTACATGAGAAGGCCCCTAGAGAACAAATGTGTACCCTCTTCTCCGCAGCCCTCATCGCTGAATAACACAACCATAAACATGGACCCAAAGGTTTATGTCAGTTAATTTTTGTTATTTTACTGCGACAGTATTGACACTGTCAAGCATGTTTTAAGATACCCATTCAATTATATAATTGTTAAACGCTGATATAGCATATCTTTGTTAATAGAATGTCATGGTGAAAGTTACTATCCCTGGCTTGAAAGAAGATACTCAGACTGTGAAATTGAAGGTGTTTCCAGGTATGGGTCTTTTATGAATTCTTTGTTTGCTAACTTTTTACCTTTTACTAGATTAATCAGGTAGAAGTTACGGAAATTATATTTGACTGTAACATTCACTTCTGAGCTAGTTCTGTAAAAAAAAAACTGTGGGAATCTTCTATGGATTCATGATTTATTTTTTTCCATAACCTTTATTGGAAGCCATACCAGGGGTATTACCCTCGGAGACTGATGATGATCTCATTTGAAGGCAATTTTATGTGCCTAAGTCCACACCCCGAACCTTCAGAAGAACACCCGCTCCCAGAGGAACAAGTCAACTGTTTCCCTGGAGAGCCGGATCTACTTGCTTCTTTAGTCCAGACTGTCCCTTCTTTTGTGGTTTGTTCCTCCAGTGTCAGTGAATTTTCTCTCTGGCGGAAAATTCTTGCCATTAGTGAAAGTCTTTCTTGGTTGGTGTGTGGTCATCAACACCTTTTTGATTCTGAGTTGTTGAACTCCGAACCATCCTTGCCTACCAGCAGACTGGAGATTATTATTATACAGGATTTATATAGCGCCAACAGTTTGTGCAGCGCTTTACAATATAAGGAAGACATTACAATACAATTCAAGAGAAGATGGTAAGAAGTGAATTGTTTGACAATGTGATGGTTCAGTGGTTAGTTTGAGGTGGGATAGGCTTCCCTGAAGAGATGAGTTTTTAGGTATCCCCTAAAGGCATTCAGGGTGGGAAATAGACGGACAGGTTGGGGTAAAGAGTTTCAGAGGATGGGAGAGACTCTAGAAAAGTCCTGGAGGCGAGCATGGGAGGAGTTGACAAGGGAGCTGGAAAGCAGGAGGTCTTTTGAAGAGCGGAGGGGACGGTTAGGGGGATACTTTGAGATCAGGTTTGAGATATAGCCAGGGGCAGAGTAGTGGATGGCTTTGTAAGTGGTTGTTAATATTTTGAATATTATCCTTTGGGCTATTGGAAGCCAGTGGAGGTTTCGACTGGGGGGTTGCAGACACTGAGCGGTTGGTTAGGTGGATGAGTCTAGCAGCTGCATTCATGATAGACTGAAGGGGGGATAACCTGTGTAGAGGTAGGCCAATGAGGAGGGAGTTGCAATAGTGAAGACGAGATATAACAAGTGAATTGATGAGTAATTTTGCGGTTTCATTGGTGAGGAAGGGGCGTATTCTGGAGATGTTACGAAGGTGAAGGCGGCAAGATTTGGATGTGGGGAAGAAAGGTGAGGTCCGAGTTAAGGATGACACCTAGCACCTTGGCATGAGGGGATGGATGGTTTTGATCAATCTCAAGGGAAATGTTTAGGGAAGGTGCACGGGCAGGAGGAAATATCATGAGCTCAGTTTTTGAAAGATTGAGTTGTAAGAAGTGTTGCAACATCCAGGAGATCCAGGCTATATGTCTCATTCTTTACTTAACATCCCATCTCAATAATTATCCAGTGTGAATCCAATCTGACAATGCCATTGCCGTCGTGGCATGCATAAAAAACCAAGTAGGTACCATGAGCACTCTAGACAATGACCAAATGGTTTCTACTCAATTTGAAGATACCCAAGTTTCTAGCCAGCTACTGGAACCTACTTGCTGATATGCCTTGACTCCCACTGCCTATTTTTTCCATCTCTGAAACTTGCTGAGTAATCCAGAACATCATGCTGACCCACTCAGATCTGATTTCTCTTTCTGCTGGTGTACCCTGGCCTCTTCCGGATCTGCAAAAAATCATTTCTCAAGAAACCCTTTTCCACCCTTTGTCTCTGACATTAATGGTAGCTTTTGAAGCTGATGTGCTGAGGAAAGGGGACTGCTTGCAAGCCCTTTTCAATTGGTATAAGCCCCCCACCCTTAGAACCTTTTCTCTTGAATGCTTGAATGAATTAGGCTACAGCAAGGAGAGGAGGATATCTTGTGCTTGCTACTCAGAAGACCACTGCCTCTAGGAAGTTGGACACTCAGTCGTCTTTGGAAATACTATACAAAAAATCTCTTTATTGTTTATGGGGGGACATAGTTTTGTCTTTGAGACACACACACACACACATATATATATATATATTTTATTTTTCTTAGACTTTTCAGTCGGGACCTTATGCCGATCACTCGGTAAGCGGCACTCATGAAAATGAGAGCCCGATTTGAAACAGTCTTTTTATTAACCATGCCCTATATATGAGTTTCCTATCCTATGCATCTCATCCATGACCTTTAAATGTATTGTATTAAGTCCTTCTATCCAATATGTTAGATATAATGTTGTTTCTTATTTACTAAATCCGCTAATGGAGATTTTTATACCGTAAACCTCCCCACACAGAAGAAAATATCATTATTGTTGCCTATTGATTTATATTTAGTCCTTCTATTTTAATATGCTAGATATATTGTTGTTTTTAAAACTATTAAGTCTGTTAATGGAGAGCTTTATATCGTAAACCTCCCCACACAGAAGAAAATAGAATT